TGCCTTTGCCTCTCCAACACAGAGAAGGGGCTAAAATCACAGACTGGAGACAGATGAATTTAGGATTTGCTATACCAGCTCATAGGAGGGGGTCCATCTATACTAGTAGAGAGGACAGATGGTCCTGTGGGTATGTTGCTTGCCTAAGAGTCGGGAGACCTTGGTTCAATTCCCTGCTCTACCACAGATTTACTAGCCGTTTTTCTCTGTGCCTCAGTTCCCCTCTGTAAAAGGGGGATAACAGCATTTCCCTAACTCACAGGGTTATTGTGATAATGAATAAATTAAAGATTATAAAATGCTCAAATACTGGTGATGGGGCGATATAAATAGCCAAGATAGATAGTATCCCATCACTGACGGTAGTTAATACTAGTTGCTTAAGAAGAATGTGCTGGAAACTTGCAGTAGATATGAAATAATTAGCTAACACAGGTGGGAGGGGCACATGAAGTCCAGAATTTATAGCCTGGTTCACACACCATAATTAAACATGGAATCACATCCTCTCCTCCAAAATGAGTTTGACACTGCTAATGCAATGTAACTGCATGTGTTCTCATTATCCACTAAATTAAAAGGCAACACATTTAAAACCAATAAAAGGTAATACTTTTTTAAAAACACACCATGAATAATTACACTGAAAGAGGCAAAAGCAAGGTGGTAAAACAATTCAGGTGAGTTAAAGATCCAATATCTCATATCACAGGACAGAACATTTTGGCAGCTGCAATGCTTACAAGACAAGTACAATTTTCAAAGTCCTGTTTCTGGACCAGTGATCTGAAAGGAAATAAAAATTCCTTGGTTATATAAATTTCTCCAAGGGTAAGAAATTCAGATTGGGCTCATTCTTGTCTCAGATCATTCCACAAGATCCTGATACACAGGCAGAAAACACAACACCCTGAGGTCAGCTGAGTGGTTACAAGCCAGGACTGGCCAGAATAGTATTCTGATATAGACAGCAGCTCAAATGCTAGATTAGTGGGGAGAAAAAAGCGAGGCTGGCCAGGTTGTACTGTTGACTGCGGGGAAGCTTTTGTGCTCTGTGAGACGTACTAAAGAACCTGACTGTATCACAATCCAGGGCACGCTACAACAGATTATATTGCCTAATCTGCACAAATCCTCAAAACGCTATGGACAGTGAGAGACTTTTCAGGATTACCCAAAGTGTCCAGGATGAATCATTACCACCTGCTTACAGTGTGAATGCCTTGTCTGAGCTCACCAAGGGAAACCCTCCCCAACTACCGACTGCAAGCAATACAAGCACTCTGCCCTGGACAGGGGTCCTGGAACAATCTTTATAGCGGGGGCGCTGAGAGCCATTGAACCAAACTGCAAACCCTATATATGATGGAAACCACTTCAAGCCAGGGGGTGCGGCAGCATCCCTCGTTCCAGCACCTATGGCTCTGAGCTCTGTGAGCCCTTCTTTCTCTCTGAGGGCTAGCAATTTACTCACCCCCCCTTTGTTACCCTCAGGTGCCAGTCCTTTATCTTCTGGTCACCCACAATGTACGCTGATCCACTACCTCCATAGAAACAGTGCACCCAAGTTCATTGGTTTCACCTCAGTTCAACACCTTAACATGAAGCTCTTAGACAGATTTATAGTAAAACCAAACTGACGTTTAGTTAACAGCTTGAGATAAAGATTTAAATCAAAGCAAGTATTAGGGTTTGGAAACATACAGTTACAGGGAAAAGAAAACTTAAAAGGCAAAGTATCACCTATACTTATTAACAAGTTACTTTCTTGGCCTCTCACCCAAAGGTCAGTCCTTGCAGTAGTGGTCTTCTAGTTCCAAGAGCTGGGATCCACCTTTCATGAGACATCCCTGCTGGCAGAGTTCCTCCTCCATAATGAATAAAACCTTGTGCCCTTTCCTCTTCTCTTACACAGTTGCAGACTATTGTTTCTTACCTCAGAGGGGCCCCTATTCAGACACTTTTCTTGGGTTTGTTTTTTTTTTCTTTTTTTGGTAAATCCTCAAGCCTTCACCTGGCTCAGACAGTAAACACAGACTGTCTCCTCAGATGTCCATTGTTCTCAGCGTTGACTGAGAGAGCCCGCAGACGCCACCAGGGCCTTGCCTCAGGTGACAAGACTGACTTTCAACAACTTTGAAATCCAATAGTCTACATATTTCTTAAACTACTTCCTGTACAAACAACTTGCAATAACCCTAACAGTCAGATAGTTCTTAGCTTTCAGCAGAGACCACATATGACCCCCTTTCGCAAAATACTGAGAAGATGGCTGGACACAGGGGTACTAATATAGATGCCTGGGAACATCTATGTCACAGAAGGCCAAGGCCATATCCTGGGCTGTCACTATGGACAGGAGGTTGGTTATTGCAATGAGATCTATGAAAGGGGATGGACACTGTCAAGGTTCCTTCCCCACTCTGAACTCTAGGGTACAGATGTGGGGACCTGCATGAAAAACCCCCTCAGCTTATTTTTACCAACTTAGGTTAAAACTTCCCTAAGGTACAAACTATTTTACCTTTTGCCCTTAGACTTTATTGCTGCCACCACCAAATGTCTAACAAATATATAACAGGGAAAGAGCCCGCTTGGAAACGTCTTTCCCCCAAAAATCCTCCCAAACCCTACACCCCCTTTCCTGGGCAAGGCTTCATAAAAATCCTCACCAATTTGCAGTGAACACAGACCCAAACCCTTGGATCTTAAGAACAATGAAAAAGGAATCAGGTTCTTAAAAGAAAAGAAAAAGTAAAAGAATCACCTTTGTAAAATCAGGATGGTAAATACCTTACCGGGTAATTAGATTCAAAACATAGAGAATCCCTCTAGGCAAAACCTTAAGTTACAAAAAGACACAAAAACAGGAATATACATTCCATTCAGCACAGCTTATTTTATCAGCCATTTAAACAAAACAGAATCTAACGCATATCATACTAGATTGCTTATTAGCCCTTTACAGGAGATCTGACCTGCATTCCTACTCTGGTCCCGGCAAAAAAAAACACAGACCGAGAGAACCTTTGTTTCTCCCTCCCAGCTTTGAAAGTATCTTGTCTCCTCATTGGTCATTTTGGTCAGGTGCCAGTGAGGTTATCCTAGCTTCTTAACCCTTTACAGGTGAAAGGGTTTTTCCTCTGGCCAGGAGGGATTTTAAAGGTGTTTACCCTTCCCTTTATATTTATGACAGAGACATAACGCATTGGATCTAGCACTTCCTGCTCAGCTTTTGTTGAGATCTTAATCTTTGTGGATTGGGATAGGGGAGGCACAAAATGGGGTTTATAATGGTAAAGGTCTCTTATCAGCAGCCCTTTGATAAATTGCATTTATTATGTACCTTTGACTGCCTTCCCCCTACTAATCCATCTCCCCAGGGATTACTGACATTCCATACCTCTATAATTGCAATTTATTGCAAACAACTTGCTCCAGAAATATTTCCTTCTTTCCCTCAAATGTGGAATTTCTTCCTAAAATTACTAGTCTGAGTTGTGGAATGAACATTAATTTCTAGACCAATGAGTGGTTTACAATTGACTATCACATGACCCATCAGCCTACAGCCTTCTATTCCCTCTAGCTCTAGAATGTTGGAGCTATTAGTTCTAAGTCTCCCACCACAGTTGAACTTAGGGTACTAAGGAAGCTTTACTTTACCATCATCGTGTCCGAGCACCTCACCATCATTAATGATTTTCTTACTCTCACAAGAGCCTATGGAGGCAGGGAAGGAGCATAGTCACCATTTGAAAGATGGGGAACTGAGACGGAGACTTATACAAGTTACGCAGGAAACCTGTACCTGAGCCAAGATTTGAACCAAGGTCTCCTATAGCCCAGCCCAGTGCCTTCCTACAGGAGAGTGATTGCACGAAGTGCTCCCCCTGGAGGATGGAATCCTGTGTCCATTGTAGGTTTGTCATTAAACGGGGCTTAAACAGGATTTTACCCATTTAAAATAATCATTAAAAAAAAAGCCCTCAGACTTTTCCAGACAAGTTTTCTGCAAGAAGTGGGGAGTATGCAGAAAAATGTCGTGCGGTATAAAGGTTTTTTTGAAAGGACCTGTGTAATTCAAGCATTACTTCACCACATGTAAGAAACATGGTGTCATAAAGGGAAGGGTAAACACCTTTAAAATTTCTCCTGGCCAGAGGAAAAACCCTTTCACCTGTAAAGGGTTAAAAAGCTAGGATAACCTCGCTGGCACCTGACCAAAATGATCAATGAGGAGACAAGACACTTTCAAAGCTGGGAAGAGGGAGAAAAACAAAGGATCTGTGTCTGTGTGATGCTTTTGCTGGGAACAGAATAGGAATGGAATCTTAGAACTTAGTAAGTAATCTAGCTACATATGCGTTAGATTATGATTTCTTTAAATGGCTGAGAAAATAAGCTGTGCTGAAAGGAATGGATATTCCTGTGTCTTTTTGTAACTTAAAGTTTTGCCTAGAGGGTTTCTCTATGTTTTGAATCTAATTACCCTGTAAGGTATTTACCCTCCTGATTTTACAGAGGTGAATCTTTTTACTTCTATTAAAATTTTTCTTTTAAGAAACTGATTGCTTTTTCCTTGTTCTTAAGATCCAAGGGTTTGGGTCTGCGGTCACCTATGCAAATTGGTGAGGATTTTTGTCAAGCCTTCCCCAGGAAGTGGGTTAGAAGGGTTGGGAGCATTTTGGGGGGGGGGGGGGGGGGAAGATGTTTCCACACGGGCTCTTTCCTAATAAAATAAACCCGGTTAGACATTTGGTGGTGGCAGCAAAAGTCCAAGGGCAAAGGTAAAATAGTTTGTACCTTGGGCAAGTTTTAACCTAAGCTGGTAAAAGCTTAGAAGGTTTTCATGCAGGTCCCCACATCTGTACCCTAGAGTTCAGAGTGGGGAAGGAACCTTGACACATGGTCATCACGAACTCATGCTGACATAACCTCTCTCTGGCAGAATCTGCCCTGTTCATCTCTCACCAAAGATAGCAGAGGAGTCAGAACAGTTAAGAAAAAGGGTTTTTTATTTAAAAGAAGTTAAATACAACTAAAATCTAGCACCAGGCAGAAACATGAATGCTGAACATTTAAAAATCAACAGTAATAATTAATCCTCACCTAATGGCTTACATTTTCAAAGCATTTTACAAACATTAATGAATTAAGCCTCAACATCCCTGTGAGGTAGGTAAGTATTATTAGCCCCATTTTACAGATGGGGAAACTGAGGCACAGATCAGTTATGTGACTTGTTCAAAGCCATCCAGCAAGTTAGCGTCTGAGTCCGGATTAGCACTCTAGGGCTCCTGGCTTCCAATTATGTGCACAGATGCCTAGAAAATACTACTTCTCTGAAAAAGCCTTTTCTTCCCGCCACATCCTCTGTAAGACAGATGACCCCATTTCAGAGTGATGTGAAAGGGTGCTTGCCAAAAGCGATTCATCAGAGTATCCACACAGGAAGATTGTATTGGGAAGTAACATTTTTATAGACACACACTGTGCGTCTGAAAGGTGTTTTGTTTTGTTTTTAAATAGATTTCTGACTGTTCGTGCTCCCAAACTGACAGAATCACAAATGATGTCACTTTTCCTCAAGATGCAGCAGCAGCCATCAGAAGGCTGAGAGACCTGTCTGCAATTCTGACACAGTTCTCAATGAGACAAAAGTGCTGTTTCTTCACATTGGGACCCCCTCCATGAAACAGGAATGTCTCTTTAGGGAAGGTATCATAAATATAAAGGGAAGGGTAAGCACCTTTCTGTATACAGTGCTAAAAAATTCCTCCTGGCCAGAGGCAAAATCCTTTCACCTGTAAAGGGCTAAGAAGCTAAGGTAACCTCGCTGGCACCTGACCCAAAATGACCAATGAGGGGACAAGATACTTTCAAAGCTGGAGGGGGGGAAAAAAGGTTTTTGTCTGTCTGTGTGAAATCTTTGCCGGGAACAGATCAAGGATGCAAGCCCTTCAACTCCTGTGAAGTTAGTAAGAAATCTAGATAGAAAATGCGTTAGATTTTCTTTGTTTTGGCTTGTAAATTCACTGTGCTGGAGGAAATGTATATTCCTGTTTGTGTGTCTTTTTGTAACTTAAGGTTTTGCTTGGAGGGATTCTCTATGTTTTGAATCTGACTGCCTGTAAGATTCTCTTATCTTTTCTTTGTTCTTCTAATAAAGTTCTGATTTTAAGAATCAGATTGGGTTTTCTGGGTCTTAAAAATCCAAGGGGTTTGTGCTCATCTTGTTTATTCTCAAGCCTCCCCAGGAAAGGGGGTGTAAGGGCTTGGGAGGATATTCTGGGGAAATAGGAACTCCAAGTGGTCTTTTCCCTGTTCTTTGTCTAAAACACTTGGTGGTGGCAGCATTTTACCTAATCCAAGGACAAAGACTTTGTGCTTTGGGGAAGTTTTAACCTAAGCTGGTAGAAATAAGCTTAAGGGGTCTTTCATGCAGGTCCCCACATTTGTACCCTAGAGTTCAGAGTGGGGAAGAAACCTTGACAGAAGGTTTCTTCCAAGAAAAGCTAACCCGGGTGCAGCTGGCCTGCACCAAAAGTAAAGGGTGGGGCTGGAATTGTGAATTAGTTTGAGGTGCAGCCGTGGGATGAGGGGGAATCGGTCCACACTAGAACTTGGAAACAACACAAAGGTTCATATCCCATGTGAAGAAGCCATCCACGATGATTAGGGGGACAAACTGGATGCAACACACCTCTCAAGGGATGGCTGGTCATCACAAATTCACGCTGCTATAACCTCTATGGCTGAATCTGCCCTGTTCATCACTCACCAAAGATGGCAGAGGGATCAGAACAGTTAGGAAAGTGCCAATTTTTGAATGGTCACTTTGAGCAGAGGAGAAGTCTCCTTAGCACACCCCCTGTGGATTGAAACAAACAAACAGTCTAATAAAAAGGGAGGGGCTCATGTCTGCATACACGAGGGCCCCCTCTCTGTAGAACAAGAGGGTGAGGAACAAAGCAGCTCTATTCAGACTATGGTTAAAAATTCCCAACCACCTTTTAACATTGAAGTCACGTGATTTAACCATTGGTAGGGTTGTCGAGTCCCAGCAGAGCCACTGATGACAATGGGAGTCTCCGTGGGCCATCCCGCACCCAGGAGCTTGCGGTTCCAACGGGGAGATGAGAGTCAAACAGTCCTTCCAGTCGCTGTCTGGAGTCGCTCTCACGACAGCTGGATCCGAAGGTCCTCCCCATATTTTCGAATCAGCTTCCCATGATTGTGGTTGACCGACCACCGCCTTGGGAGGTGCTTCGGTTGCATGGTGTCCAGGAAGTGCTGCCGCCAGCGCCCCTCCAGCTCCATGAGCGAGCGCAGCCCCCCTTTGGCGAAGCTCTGCACCACCTTCAGCCCATGCGGCACATAGTGCTCATTCCAAATCCTGCCAAGACACAAGGGGGGTTGGTTTCACGCAAGCCCGGTATGGGACTCTCGGCCTCCCAAAGCTCCCACTGCCGTGTTTTGCTGGGCGCCATCGCACCCAGAGCACTTGACAAACACAAAGCTCAATTAGGCAGGCTGGGCCAACAGAGTTGTCCACCCGACTACTCCCCACACCCTTAGCAGAGTAATAACCTGAGTGAGAGACTGTAAGCATCTCACTGCAGGAAACACATTGTAATCTACAGCCCCAATCTCACAAGTGTATCGGTGCTGGGGTTCCCTGTGCCTGCACGGAGCTCTGCAGCACTGTGTTTGTAACGCACTGTGTAAAGACCCAGTTTGTTAAACTCTGGCCCTGGTTTTAGGAGATTAAAACAACAGGAGGTGTTTTTAAAGGAGCTCGGGAAAAAAAGTAGGCCGATTACTAGCTCTACCAATGCTGCTGGGATTTTTGTTGCTGCTGTACTATTTATGTATCAGGACACCTAGGGCCCTGGATAGGAGTCTTTATCTGTAACTCAAGTCTAAATACATAACTATACACATACAGATGGCTGAAACGTTAAACCTAGTCACTGGGCTCTTGTAATACCTGGTTTCCAGGCCTGCTGCTTCCTGGAGCATCTCTGATGTAACGGTCTCTGTGTTAAAGAAGTCCTTGATTCCTTGCAACAGCTCCTCCCTCCTGGTGTCAGGCAGGCTGTCTGCATTCAGCAAAGCCCTGGCCCCTGACCGGACCTGCCTTCGCAGGGGGTCCTCTAGCAGGCGTACCCCTTCCTCACAGCCAATGGGGGCACTGAACTCCTCGGCCAGCTGCTGCTTGAGATGATTGTCGTAGTAATTGGAAATGGCATGGCAGGAAGTGCAAAGCAGCAGTACGTCATGGGAGTTGTGGTCCTTCATCTGGATGGGAAAGTGTCTCCTGTACTCGTGAGGTACAATGTTCTTCCTGGGAAGGAAATAGCAACAGTCTTAACTAAGATTTCAGACGGCTGCTGCCATCAGCTACTACTTACCTGCCTGATGGAAGACTGATATTGAAAAGGAACCATCCCAGAAGCTGGAGCTTTCCACCTTTGGTCATAGCCCAGGAGTGTATTGTTCTTTTGTAAAGACTGAGGATAATCTTGGTTATTTTTGAGTTGGGGGGCAAATCCACTCTTTTAAAGTTATTTTTTTTAAAAAAGTCAGAAAAGCGCCTGTGAAGATAGCATTGGATCAGTTCTCTGTGTGTACTCTATGGCTAATCTGATGACCTTAGTGACAGAAATGTATTTTTGCTTTCCACTTCTGTTAGCCCTGCAGAGACATCACTAGATTCTGTCCTGGCCAGTGCATCAAAAGAATTCCTAACAAAAGCCCCAATCCTGCATGTACATATGCATATATGTACCGATACTCATAGGAGTAGTCCCATTAACCTCAAAGGGACTACTCGTGTGTGAAGTAAGGCAGATGCCTCAGTGCTTGCAGGACTGGGCCCAATTCCAAATGCAGAACCAAATTCTACTCTCAGCTACACTGTGCATCCCCAGAGGGCACAAAAGAATTGCACAGTTGTAACTAACTGCAAAATATGGCCTACAGAATCTTTATTACTCGTGACAATGAACAGTAAGTAGCAGCTCAGCTGGACCTTCAGATCTCAGTATGAGTCTTGCAGGGAGGGCAATTAGAAAAAACTCCTTTGTAACCTAGGTAAGTTCTCTCTAGAAGCTACTGAGAGAATCAACAGGAAACCCTTCGTAAGAATTCAAAGAAATTTGGGCCCTGCTTTTAGCTACATTTGGATAAAAAACATTGAGACTATTCAAAGAAAGCCAAACTTCCATTCCACCTAAATGCTCCCTTTCCTAGTCCCTGTCTTCCCTCCCTTTCCTGGTTACATGTCTTCTCCTATTTTACTTTTCTAACCCCCACCCTAACGTGTTAGGTCGATGTCTTGCAGATTTGACGAGTAATAAGATTGCAGAATTCTACGGGCAATCCCATAAAGAATGCAGTATATTGAAACATATACAAGCTATAAGTCAATTATCTTTCTGTTTATTTTCTTCATATAAAAATCAATGAAAATTAATCACAACCCACCCCACAACCCAAAATGACCCCACAGTGCCATTGTAGAGGTATTTTTCAGAGCTGGTTCATAGTTAAAGACAAAAATGAGTACGTTCATAGGAACATAAGAATGGCCATACTGGTCATTTTAGTATCACAAAAATGTCTAATCAAAACCTTCATCTGTGGCATGTTACCCTCAATGAGGGCTTCAGGGGTGGAAACAAATTGTATAAAGTTATGAGCAACTGCAAAATCACTACTGAGCACACTTAGGGGACGTCTACATGGCCGCGGCAGCTCTGTGACATAGGCAGCGTAGTCACGCTTTATCGCTCTGGGAGAGCTCTCCCGGTGCTAAAAAATAACCGCCTCGAATGAGGGTCGGTAGCTTTAGTGCCGGGAGTGCAGCTCCCGGTGATAAAGCACTGTCCATACTGGTGCTACAGAAATCCTCCAGGGACATCTCCATAAAGTTCTCCTGGATGTACTCCCAAAAAAACTTTTTTTTACTCAGGGGTGTGTTTTTTCACACCCCTGAACACCTAAAGTTTTAGCGCTGAAAGTGGCAGCGTAGACACTGCCTTAGGCCTGGTCTACACTAGGAGCTGAGGTCGAATTTAGCGGGGTTCTCTCGATTTAACCCTGCACCCGTCCACACGATGAAGCCATTTTTGTCGACTTAAAGGGCTCTTAAAAATCGATTTCTTTACTCCGCTCCTGACGAGGGGATTAGCGCTGAAATTGGCCTTGCCTGGTCGAATTTGGGGTAGTGTGGACACAATTCAATGGTATTGGCCTCCGGGAGCTATCCCAGAGTGCTCAGTTGTGACCGCTCTGGACAGCGCTCTCAACTCAGATGCACTGGCCAGGTAGACAGGAAAAGGCCCGCGAACTTTTGAATCTCATTTCCTGTTTGGCCAGCGTGGCAAGCTCACCTGCACAGGTGACAATGCAGAGCCCATCAGCACAGGTGACCATGCAGTCCCAGAATCACCAAAGAGCTCCAGCATAGACCGAATGGGAGGTACAGGATCTGATCGCTGTGTGGGGAGACGAATCCGTGCTAGCAGAACTCCGTTCAAAAACACAAAATGCCAAAATATTTGAAAAAAATCTCCAGTGGCATGAAGGACAGAAGCTAACGGGGACGTGCAGCAGTGCCGTGTGAAAATTAAGGAGCTCAGACAAACCTACCAAAAAACCAGAGAGGCAAACGGCCGCTCCAGTTCAGAGCCCCAGACATGCCGCTTCTATGATGAGCTGCATGCCATTCTAGGGGGTGCAGCCACCACTACCCCAACCCTGTGCTTTGACTCCGTCCAAGGAGCGGGAGGCAACACAGAAGCGGCATTTGGGGGCCAGGAAGATGATGATGTTGTAGATAGCTCACAGCAAGGAAGCAGAGAAACCGGTTTCCCAACAGCCAGGATCTGTTTATCACCCTGGACCTGGAACCAGTACCCCCCGAATCCACCCAAGGCGGGCTCCTGGACCCTGAAGGTGGAGAAGGGACTTCTGGTGAGTGTACCTTTGTAGATATTATACATGGTTTAAAAGCAAGCGTGTTTAATGATTAATTTGCCCTGGCATTTGCGGCCAGTACAGCTACTGGAAAAGTCTGTTAACGTGTCTGGGGATGGAGCAGAAATCCTCCAGGGACATCTCCATAAAGTTCTCCTGGATATACTCCCAAAGCCTTTGCAAAAGGTTTCTGGGGAGGGCAGCCTTATCCCGTCCTCCATGGTAGGACACTTCACCATGCCAGGCCAGTAGCACATAGTTGGGAATCATTGCAGAACAAAGCACTGTAGCGTATGGTCCCGGTGTTTGCTGGCATTCAAACAACATCCATTCTTTATCTCTTTGTGTTACCCTCAGGAGAGTGAAATCATTCATGATCACCTGGTTGAAATAGGGTGCTTTTAGTAAGCAGACATTCAGAGGTGCCCGCTCCTGCTGGGCTGTTTGCCTGCGGCTGAACAGAAATCTTCCCCGCTGTTAGCAACCTGGTGGGGGGAGGGGTGAAGCCATCATCCCAGAGAATTGGGAGGGTGTGTGGGGGGGCAGTTAGTTGGGTTTCTGCTGCACGTTAACCTGGAAACCGCAGCCCCTCCTTTTAAATTGCCAACCCATTTTAAAATGGCCAACCCAACAGCTATTTCGTATGGGAAATGAGGGCGCTGCTGTTTGAAACCATTCCCACATGTTATGAAGGTTAAAGAAGCCAAAAGGCTGGCTTATTATGGCTGCCTGCAAGCCAAATTCTGTTGCCCGGCCCTGCGTGAATGATCTCTCACACCAAACCAGCATATCCTCAATAAGAGGCAAAATGCGACCTTGTAATGAAAGCACATGTGCTATGTAATGTTAACAGCAAGGTTTACCGTGAAAGAGTCTACCCATTGTTCTATAAAATGTGTCTTTTTAACTACCACTCTCCCTTTTTTTTTTCCCCTCCACCAGCTGCATATGTTTCTCCTTCCCAGAAGCTTGCCAAGATTAGAAGGCAAAAACACACACTTGCAACGAAATGTTCTCTGACCTCATGCTGTCTTCCCACACTGACAGAGCACAGCAAAATACATGGAGGCAGACAATCTCAGAGTGCAGGAAAGCACAATATGACCGCGAGGAGAGGTGGCGGGCTGAAGATGGTAGGTGGCATCAGCTTGCTGAAAGAAGGCAGGAGTCAATGCTCAGGCTGCTGGAGGATCAAACTGATATGCTCCATCATATGGCTGAGCTTAGGAAATGCAGCAGGACCACAGACCGCTGCTACAGCCCCAGTGTAACCAACCGCCCTCCTCCCCAGGTTCCATAGCCTCCTCACCCAGACACCCAAGAAGGTGGTGGTGGTGGTGGTGGTGGGGGCTCTGGCCACCCAGCCACTCCACCCCAGAAGATTGCCCAAGCAACAGAAGGCTGGCATTCAATAAGTTTTAAAGTGCTGTGTGGCCTTGTTCTTCCCTCCTCCACCACCCCTCCTGGGCTACCTTGGCAGTTATCCCCCTATTCGTGTGATGAATAAATAAAGAATGCATGAATGTGAAGCAACAATGACTTTATTGCCTCTGCAAGCGGTGATCAAAGGGGGAAGGGGAGGGGAGGGTGCTTAGCTTACAGGAAAGCAGACTGGACCAGGGGGGTGGGGGTAGGGGTGGTGTTCCATCAAGGAGAAACAAACAGAACTATCACACCGTAGCCTGGCCAGTCCTGAAACTGGTTTTCAAAGCTTCCCTGATGTGCACCGCGCCCTCCTGTACTCTAAAGGCCCTGATGTCTGGCTGTGCGTAATCAGCAGCCAGGCGATTTGCCTCAACCTCCCACCCCGCCATAAACGTCTCCCCCTTACTCTCACAGATATTGTGGAGCACACAGCAAGCAGTAACAACAATGGGAACATTGGTTTCGCTGAGGTCTAAATGACTCAGTAAACTGTGCCAGCATGCTTTTAAACGCCCAAATGAACATTCTACCACCATTCTGCACTTGCTCAGCCTATAGTTGAGCAGCTCCTTACTACTGTCCAGGCTGCCTGTGTATGGTTTCATGAGTCATGGCATTAAGGGGTAGGCTGGGTCCCCAAGGATAACTATAGGCATTTCAACATCCCCAACAGTTATTTTCTGGTCTGGAAAGCAAGTCCCTTGCTGCAGTTGTTGAAACAAACCAGAGTTCCTGAAGATGCGTCATCCCACCTTGATGTTGCTGAAACGTCCTTTGTGATCCACCAGAGCTTGCAGCACTATTGAAAAGTACCCCTTGCGGTTTATGTACTTGCCGGCTTGGTGCTCCGGTGCCAAGATAGGGATATGGGTTCCGTCTATGGCCCCACCACAGTTAGGGAATCCCATTGCAGCAAAGCCATCCACTATGACCTGCACATTTCCCAGGGTCACTACCCTTGATATCAGCAGATCTTTGATTGCGTTGGCTACTTGCATCACAGCAGCCCCCACAGTAGATTTGCCCACTCCAAATTGATTCCCAACGGACCGGTAGCTGTCTGGTGTTGCAAGCTTCCACAGGGCTATCGCCACTCGCTTCTCAACTGTGAAGGCTGCTCTTATCTTGGTATTCTTGCGCTTCAGGGCGGGGAAAGCAAGTCAAAGTTCCATGAAAGTGCCTTTATGCATGCAAAAGTTTCGCAGCCACTGGGAATCATCCCAGACCTGTAACACTATGCAGTCCCACCAGTCTGTGCTTGTTTCCCGGGCCCAGAATCGGCATTCCACACCATGAACCTGCCCAACTGACACCATGATGTGCACATTGCAGGGGCCCGTGCTTTGAGAGAAGTCTGTGTCCATGTCCTCTTCACTCTTGTCACTGTGCTGCAGTTGCCGCCTCCTCCTCTCCTGGTTTTGCTTTTCTTGCAGGTTATGGTTCTGCATATCCTGCTGGAAAATGTGTGCGGTGTTTATAGTGCTCATAATTGCCATGGTGATGTGAGCAGGCTCCATGTTCCCAGTGCTATGGCGTCTGCACTGAAAAAAGGCGCAAAACGATTGTCTGCCGTTGCTCTGATGGAGGGAGGGGCGACTGACAATATGGCTTACAGGGAATTAAAATCAACAAAGGGGGTGGCTTTGCATCAAGAAGAAACAGAATGGCCCCCTCAAGGAAAGAGCTCAAAACCGTGGGTTTAGCAGGCCGTTGATTTCACGGAGGGAGGGAGGAAGGGAGGAGAAAATGAATACAAAACAACTCTGGTCTATTTCTTGTTTTGATCCACTTCATCTATCTTTATACATCTTAGGCTGGCAGCAGATGGTGCGGTATGACTGCTGGCCATCGTTGTCTCCTGGCTGCTCACCAGAAGACAGGGCAGTACGACTGCCGGCAGGACTGACTCTCCATGAGACGAAAACCTAAAAAGGGAAATGACCTGGCTGAGTCACTCCCATGTCTGCCCAGGCACCCCTGACCAACCTCACTGAGGTTGGCTAAAAGAGCACCCAGGAGTACGACGATGACAGCTACCAGTCATACTGCACCATCTGCTCCCAAAAGGCAATGAGCTGCTACTATGTAGCAATGCAGTACCGCGAATGCCAGCACCCAGGAGACATACGATGACCATGAGCTAAGTGGGCTCCATGCTTGCCATGGTATGGCGTCTGCACGGGTAACCCAGGAAAAAAAGGCGCAAAACGATTGTCTGCCGTTGCTTTCACAGAGGGAGGGAGGGAAGGAAGGAAGGAAGGGGGGGCCTGACAATATGTACCCAGAACCACCCGCGACAATGTTTTTGCCCCATCAGGCATTGGGATTTCAACGCAGAATTCAAATGGGCGGTGGAGACTGCGGGATAGCTACCCACAGTGCAACGCTCCGGAAGTCAACCATTGCCTCAGTACTGTGGACGCACTCCGCCGACTAAATGCACTTAGAGCATTTGTGTGGGGACACACACGCAATTGACTGTATAAAAACGCTTTCTAAAAAACCGAATTCTATAAATTCGACCTAATTTCGTAGTGTAGACATACCCTTAGTAGACATATGGAGATTTTCATCAAGCTGATGAAGCCCTGAGCTCTCATATGACATCTGAAGGGATGAAAAGAACTGCACGTGTGCCCTGCTTGGCCTAGGCTCAAGGGGCTGCAAGGGACAAGGAAAGCCACTGGGAAAGTTTGCAACAAGATTGTACAGGCCTCCATAAAAACATTCCAACATCCTTTCCCAGAAAAATCGATGAAGAAAACACCCTTTACCCAGAAGAAATCTGCAGTCAGACAGCCCAATGATCACACAAAGGGTTTCAGATTCTCTCCAGTTTCTGATGCATCTGGATGAATTTTTCAAAAATTGGAAGCTTTCATTTATATTGGCTTTCAAAATAAACATCTGTCTTTTTCTGCTATAAAGGCACAGCTGTCAAACTATAAAGCGACCACGTTGCTGATCAGTTCATGTAGCCTTGCAGGTCACTTTACAGCTGCTATTGTTTAGCTGGGAGCAGAGTGGAACTCACTCCCCTCCGCACCAATTAGCTTTAAGGATATGTAGTTGTCACAGCTCACCTGGGCCATTTAAATGCCAACAACAGGATTAAATACAGTGTGACAGTCAGGGTCCGGACACCAACCGGGAAAACAGATAGTTTAAGTCCCCAAAATGATCAATTAAATCAAATGATTGCATACTGTATTATTGTACTATAAAAGAATAACGAATAAGGTCTTTTATGAAAGCTTGTAATGTTCTGAACTCGATGGTCATTATGAGATGTGTGTACAGACTGTGGTTATGGAGCTATGTATTTGTGACTATAGAAAACTGTGTTAATAATCCATGCAACAGCTTCAACTACACCTCCCAGCGGGGGCTAAGCAGTGAAGCAAGGAGGGGCACCGCCAAAACCAGAAGTTTACATGAAATTGGCTTCAAGTACTGATGCATTGTCCAGCCCAGGAAAGACAATGATGGGCCATTAGAGTTAACAGAAAGACATTGAGACATCCGGGTTATCAAGTCAAGAGGGAATTTCCCCACTCTGAATAAACATGAGTCACCACAGACAGAGGGAAAAAAAAAAAAAAAGAAAGGAAAAAGCCTTTAAGAACAGGCTTGGGACTCAGCTTTTTATCCAGACCTTGAGGGACAGTCTTGTGGCAAGACACTCTCCATGAATGCTGGATCCCACCTCTAGGTAGTGGGTATGCTGAGAAACTGTCTTATGGCAACAGGTAATTTGTATTATAAAAGAGATTTTATCTAATATAGAAATGTAAAAGCCTGAGGTTGTGTTTATTTGCTGTGTAACCTGTATAGGTTTGCTTTCCTTTATTCTTATCTTCGAATCTGTGGTTTTGCTATTAAATAAACCTTTTGTTTATTTTTACCCCAAGCAGGTCTCTGGCATGCAAGCTGTGGGGAACGTGCATGTCAAAGTAGCTGGTATCCACGTGGCTGGTTTTACACCTTCTCAGGTGACAAACCGAAAAGTCAGAGTATCTGATAGTTAAGAACTTGGGAAGTACAGATTTGGGGAGACTTGGAACTGGAAGGGCTGTTGGTGTCACACCCCAAGGAGTAACTAGACTGGTGAGAGCATACACTTGTGGGCTGGCTACTGGTGTCAGGGATCTGAACCACAGCTGCTCAGCACAAAGGCCTCTAAAGTTAAAGGGCAGGCAGTGACAGAACCCCTTACTGGTCTTGGTTGTTCCCAAAACATCACAGAGGGTTTGTTATTCTCTTTCATTGAAAAAAAAAAAAAAAAAAAGAGTTAAACTGGGGAGGTATGTGTACCACTAGCCTGTACAGGCTGGACTGCAGTCTGCACTCTGTTTGAACACAACTGCTCTCTACTGCAAGGAGTGCCAACTTCTCTCCCATGTCAAACTTGTCCAGAGACACACGATTAAGGCTCTGAGTCTGACATGGATTCCGTGACTTCTGCAGAGGCCAATGTGGCTCATTCCGGGCCTTCCCGTGCAGCTCGAGCAGCTCCTGGGCCAGCCGCACCAGCCACTGCTGGGGCAGCCTCGGGCCACCATGCCCCCATTCCCTCCCACCTCAGCAGCATCAGTAGTTTGGGTGTGAGAGGGGGCTCAGGGCAGGGGGTTAGGAAGCAGGGCGATACTACCTTGGGGGGGCTTCCGGAAGTAGCTGGCATGTCTCTGCACCTCCTAGGTGAAGGGACCAGGGGGCTCCACGTGCTGCCCCTGCCTGCACGTTCCCAGCTAATGGAAGCTGCGGAGCCAGCACTTGTGGTGGGGGCAGCGCACGGAGCCCCCCTGGCTTTCCCTCACCCTAGGAGCTGCAGGGACATGCTGGCTGGTTCCGGGGAGCTGCGCAGAGCTCCCGGGTAGGGAAGCCTGCCAGCCCCCCTCCTCCTTCTCTCCCCCCCAGCCCCGAGGAGCAGCCACGGCCTGCCCTCTCTCTTTCTCTCTCACACACACACCTTGGAGCACCCACAGTTTTAGTTAGGGGTATATAGTACAAGTCATGGACAGGTCCACAGGCCGTGAATTTTTGTTTACTGATCTGTCCATGACTTTCACTAAAAATACCTGTGACTAAAACATAGCCCTTACATATGATCATGTGGTCCTTGAACGGCCACAGCCTACCCGAGATATATACACTGAATTCTACACAAGCATGACTGTGTCCCAGTTTACCTCCCACTGGTAAATAACACAAAGTTCCTTATGGTAGAGACTGAACTTGATCAGGGTCTGGGTCTTACTCTACCAGATGTATTTTTCTTCCCTGCACTGTGTAAAAACTCACCGGATGTAGGACTCTCTCTTGCCACACACCACACACAAGTTCTCCTTGACTGTCAGATAGTAATCGACTTGGGACTCAGGACGTCCTGAGGGCTCGAACTGCAGCTTCACAACAAATGGATCTGTGCTCACCAACTCTGGAAAGGTGGACGCAGAGAGGGAGGCCTTTAACAGTTGCAGAAGTGCAGGTGAAAAGCTAAATGAATTATGAACAAAGTCAAGGGACACATCCTGTTTATTCCTTCCCCCAACATCTCCAATAATTGGATCTCTGTTCAGACCTGGGCCCCTTCTCAAAAGTATCATTTCTCACCCAACACTATCATGGCAAAGAAAAGATCTCTTTCCTAGACACAGACTAATATGAGGACTGGCATACGTACCTCCAATGCCCTTGTCCAGGTACCACTGGGCCTTTTTGCGATCACAAGTACACAGAGGCTGTCCATCTGGTGCATGCAGGAAGCAGTTATCATACAGGGGAGATTTTCTGTGAAACGGGGTGAACATCATGACAATTATAATAAACAGGACCCCAGAAACTGAGCTCTATGTATCTACATATTTCATGCTGCATACACCTGGCATCCTTTAAGTCAGACGACTGCCCCCAGGAGTACACACACTTCTAGCCCTCAGCAACATGTACTTATGGGTCAGGTACCATACTGGCAGAACAGGCTGTCTCCGAGGGCAGCAACATCCTTAGTGACTGACTGTTCTGGCTACAACTACTGACTGTGAAGGATCCGTTTCCCAGATCAGTAGCAATACCCATGAAGCTGGGAACTTTGAACCCTCTGTTGAAGCTATCATTGACAACAGGCTTACATTTCAAAATTAAACGTGAGCAACTCTCAATGGTGAAAAGTAACCTATTTGTTTAAAATCTGGTTTGGATGCTCTCTGGTGTTTTCAGCAATACAGGGAAGGAATTTTTTTTTCTCCAAAATGACATCTTTACTTTGACAGCACCCCTTTAACAAAACTAAATGCCTGAGGAGGAAGATGTGCTGCATCTTCCAGCCAGGAGGCCCTGAGCAGAACTGTGGCAACAAAGCTAGATAATTGTCAGGAGCAGGGATGGACAGCTACTGTTTAGTGCAAAGTGCTCCTTCCCCTACAATCCTTACTCCATTCACCAGCACCAGTGTGATCACAGCTGTAAGAATTCCCTGAGTTGAACTGCTACCACAAGAGGCATTAGGCCAAGAACTCTTGCACAAATTTAAATTATTCAGTAATTCATACTGTCTCTACAGTAGGGAATTTGACAAAAATATTTCCACCAGTGTGTGGTGATAAAAACAAACAAGTGAAGATGCTGGGATTTGTCTATTCTAAGGCTCCTATCAGCAGTTTAGGTAAACTGGTAGTAAGCACTGGTGGGAATTTTTTGTGGTAAAGGTGACATTGTTTAGCCTGGCCAGCCAAGATAGAGGATACAGAAAATAAATGGAGAAGCAGGTGTAATAGCTCCATCAAAGGTGTCATCTGAGTGATTTAGGGATTAAAAATACAATTTCAAATTAAAACAAACATTCTCCTAGAAATCAGCAATGGAAAAAACCTTTTGAATCACATCTAATCTAACCCTAGAGACCAGGGAAGGATTATTCCCTACAATATGTTCTCCAGCACTTTGTCTTGACTAGTTTTAAGTGTCTCTAATGAGGGAGCTTCTTGATTTAAAAAATAAATAAATACATACATACATCAGCCTGGATGTAGCTCAGAATTCTGTTATACCAGCTATTTTGTTTTTCCTAGGGGGCTGAGCCCTTCTTGGACTGTTTGATGTTGGCTCAAAATGTTTGCTGAAAATATGAAGTGACCAGAGAAAATTACAAGTAATAACAGAACACTGTTATTTCTATTTTAATTGTTAAAGAATACTAACAAATCAGTTTTTCTGGCTCCATTAAATTATCTCCCCCACAGCTAACCTAAGAATTTTAACAGAGAAAGTTAAACATTGAAATATCTATTTTTCTTTTTCATTTAGCTATGACTGAAGTTGTTTAATTCCTGATGTTTGTTTATATAAATATCTCGGATATAATCGAATTAAATTTAAAAACAGGCATATGAATTCTGCATCTCCCCTTCCTGGATTCAGATTAAGGAGGTTTATCTAACTTGTTTTAATTTAAAAAGCATTGTAAATAAAATAACTGAAGTTTCAGACAGTCAGATTCCATTGTTACATAAAGAATTTAGGATTTACCTGATCAGATCAGACCATTGGTTGAAGTCTTATATTCTGCCACCAGCAATAGTTAAGCTGGTGCTTGAGAAGAAAACGACCCCCTCAGTCTAACATTATCCATCCTGCCTAGCCAACTGTGAAATGCTCTGCTTAGGCGCAGGCCAGAGATTTTCCTTCTTGAGCTCTGAGGCAGTCAAATTATACCTGATTATATCCCTATTTTAGAAAGCAGAATGACAAATGTCATATTGCTCTGAGGTGCGCTCAGTGGGTTAGGATCTCTAAAGCATCAGAATGATCTTGAGCTTTCTTTTATCCTTTGGTAAATGTATCACTTATATCCTACATTTAACTCTCAGGGTTAGCTATTGGACACCAGCAGTAGTGAATGTGCATACCCATAATGAGCAGGGCTGGAAGAATCAATCAAAATCCTGTCCTCGCAAACTTAGTTAAGGTGCATATAGTAAAAAAGGCTCATGCAATTACCTTGCAGAATATCCTACACCCAGAGGTTTTCGCTTCTGTTTGCGGGGATCCTTCACTTGTTGATGTACTGGGGACTGGCCATTAGTTGCAGACTTCCGATTCCTTGGTTTCTGCTGGGCGTCCGCCTCTCCATTTCCATCGTCTCCTAGACTGCTGCTGCTTCTTCCTCTGAATGGGACATCCGTCAAGCCCTGGCACTTGCCCAGTACTTTTTCCCAAACAACAGCAGCATTTTCACCTCCACTTGTAGCAGGGATGAAGAAAAATCCCAGCAGATGGAGAAACAGAGCCACTGAGACCTGGGCATCCTTGGCAGCATAAGTGACCTGGGGAAAAGAGCCAGAGCTCTGTGTTACTGTGCAGAAGGAGGGCTAACGCCTTGTGAGGACCTGAGACAAGATCCCCCAACACAGCAAATGTGAAACATCGTTTCTAGGTAAAGAGGGAGCAGCATTTATTTGACTTCCTCACTTCAGCGTAAGTTCCTGTCTGGGAGCCTCTAGTGCTCCCTACCTAGAACCACAGACCCTCCTCTTCATTATGCAATCCAAAGCCCTTCCAGTAATCTGCTATGTAGCCAGTTGACCCCTAGAGGGAGCCAGAAGGTATTATACTGTAGATACAAAAAGAAAAGGAGTACTTGTGGCACCTTAGAGACTAACCAATTTATTTGAGCATGAGCTTTCGTGAGCTACAGCTCACTTCATCGGATGCATACCGTGGAAACTGCAGCAGACATTATATACATACAGAGATCATGAAACAATACCTCCTCCCACCCCACTGTCCTGCTGGTAATAGCTTATCTAAAGTGATCATCAAGTTGGGCCATTTCCAGCACAAATCCAGGTTTTCTCACCCTCCGCCCCCCCACAAACTCACTCTCCTGCTGGTAATAGCCCATCCAAAGTGACAACTCTCTTCACAATGTGTATGATAATCAAGGTGGGCCATTTCCTAACTAACTAACTAACACGGCTGTTACTCTGAAAACTGTAGATACAAAGTCAATTTAAGACGACTGAAGGACATGCAGAGCTCAAAAGACAATATTTACATATGCTCACCGTAATCCTGTCCATTGTACACCATTCAAAATGATGGCACAGACAGACTGACTTCAAAGGCAGACAATCCTTTATATGGTTACCTCCCTACTCTCAAAAAGCTCAATGATAATCTGCTCATTATGCGGTCAATCCTCAAGGGGCTGAGCACACAAGCTCTTGTTAAGCAAAGTCCTAGAGCATCTGCTTAACGTTAAGCATGAGTGGTTCCATTCAAGTCTATGCAACTAGTCATGTGCTTGCAGTTAAGCAGGTGCTCAAGTACTTTGCTGGACCAGGATAAACATGCTCAGAACCTTCAAGGCTCAATCCCCAAATCAGCTACAGATCACTCAAAAAACCCTCGCAGATCAGCAATCACCAGTTCCCTGGTGCTTGCCTATGAACAGAAATAATACTTGGCACTTCAATCCCCTTACATCCAAATATGTCAAACAGCTTTCCAAAGTTTAAGCCTTGAATGCCTCCACCCCACCCCAAAACAGGAAAGAATCCCCATTTAAAGAGAGGGAAACTGAGGTAGGGAGAGATGAAGCATCTGGACCAGTCAAACACTGAGCCTGTGGCAGAGCTGGAACAGACCCCAGATCTCGACTCCAAATCCTGCCCTTTAGAATAACTACAATCAGAAGACACACCTGGTCTTGAGTCAGCTCTTCTGCCTCCCAGTTGCTGCAGCGCAAGCGAAGAGACTTGTCGAGTGGGCAGTTCAGGACTTTCTCAGCTAGAGATTTGAGGCTGAGTCCATTACAGAGCAGATCCTTCCTTCAGTTTAACAAACAAAAGCAAATAAATGGATACAAGCACCAATCAAATTGAAAAATGTTCGCATCCACCCCAGATCTATTTGAACAAGAGGAACTACTGAAGTGTGTGATTAGATGATGTATGTACTATACTATAGGAACAGGACACCTGCTCATCTGTAAGCTTTACTGGCTAGCATAGTTCTTTCCTCTTTAGGTCACTGGTTGGTTTTGGAACAGAAGATCTCAAGCATGAATGTTACCGATTCCCGCTTGAAGCTGTTTCACATAATACAGACACTAGATCATTACAGAATCTAAGAAGAATTCTTTTTGAGAGAAAGAGTGGGGATCTTTCCATCAGCTGTCTGCCTCTGAATGAAAACGAGAGATATCCTACAGTGATGGGCAAGTTTGCTGTATGGAATTGAAATGCCACCAGATCAAATGGCCATGAATGGGCTACATTTTGGTGGGAAATGAGAGATCCAGTCATCGCTTTAGAGGAGAAGAATCAGAAGATACACATTTAAACTGTCCAATGAAAGACTCAAGGATTCCATGTTGTCCGATACTCATGGTTGCTAAAGAAGTGGCACAAGACCAATAGACCTACACACCAAAGGCCTGTAAAATATTGCAATTGAAGAGTGTTTCTAGGCAAAAGGTTATAACTTTATTTCTTTAACATGAAAGCAATATCAGAAAATATTATTGTATCTTTAATGTTTCACTGGAAACAGAATTATTAAAGGAGGAAATTAAAAGCTGATCATTGTGTACATTTCTCAAGAAGTCTGATAATCATCTCTTTCCACTCATCTGCTGATTGTTTCTTTAACCTGTATCTGAGGACAGCGTGTGCAGGTACCCAGTTACATAGGAAGCACCCTGCCACACACAGATTATTATAGACCACTGAGTTTGGACCTCTGATAAGCCAAATTAATGACACCTAGGACAGGCTATATTGGCAACCTGCAAGGAGGCCAATGGACACATCCAGTTTGCATAGCTAGAATTTGTTTGTGGGTCCTCCTTGATCACTGAGCACTATCCAGTATGCATGTCAGTCTGCCCTCCCCTCCTCCTCCCAGGAGCAATGTAGGCCAAATCCAAATATTTAGGTGGGAGGAAGGAAGATAGGGTCTCCAATATTTGAAATTTAACTTTCCTTTCACTGGTCACCATGCAGATAAATGAACAGTTAAGTTGCCGTGTTTATGTTCACGGTGTAAATGGTGACAGGCAACATTTCAAATCCTGGCTGTTAGATATGGAGCCAGTCTGAGAAGGCTGCTCACCTGGTTATCATATAACCAGTGTTTTCCATGGTGCGAGAGCCGATAAGAACTCAGAGTGTGTCTGCAAGAACATTTCAGAGAGGACAAAATGAGTTGTACACCCTAGAAGATGGAGAGAAAAAAACAGCCTACTGTATACGGAGACAAGGTGTGTTTCCCTTTCTGCCTCTTTTAGGTCTTTGTCTTAATTATCAAGATTCTCTTACAATTCAATACTAGTTTAGTTTGAAATTGTGAGCCACTGGGTAGAAGTTACAATATATACACACTGCTTGGAAGTATTAGTTGAGTTCTTAATAGATGCCCTTGTTACAAAAGCCCCCACCACAATTGGCACTACTTGGCTTCCATACTCACAGCCTCAGCACAGAGCACAAGGATTGAACGGGCCATGGAGACCCTATCCCCTTGTCCCCAGAACAGTGGTCTGCATGGGTCATAGTTTGAGGCATACTACAAGGGCCGGGGGGGAAGAGGAGGCTTGCATTGCTGCTACCCAGGCCATAACTGTTATGAGGACAAATCCAGGACTACCAATGTGGCATCCTTCATCAGAACCAAATCCATTTTTTAAGATTTCCAATTAAAATTGTACACTCTAAATACACTGCTGTTGTTTATGGATACGCACCTCTGTCTCATGGCTAGGTACCGGAGATCTATGCTCCCTTTGACTGCAAGGCCATAGTTCTGAAGTAGCTTGCAAGAATCTTCCCAACATCCAACGCCAACTTTTAATATAGTGCTATCTGCCAAGATGTCCAGTAAAGACTTTGGGACAGTCTGTCCACTGCTAACCAACCTGGGCAATCGAACAAGAATGCAAAAGCCACTGGAAGAGGCCATCTGTAAGAGGGATACAGGACTGGCCTTTCCTTCCACTGACACCTAAAACCAAAGAACCAAACAGCACTGGCGTTAGAGTATTAGTATATGGGCACAGAACAAACCACAACAGAATCCTAGGCATTACAGATGGAAAAGACATATTAAGTGATCTAGTCCAGCATTTCTCAAATGCGGCCACTATGGCCGCATGCAGCCACCAGGGCCTTTTCTTGCAGCCACAGCATCCTGGGCTGTGGTTGGGGGGGGAAAAGGGGCTCAAAGTAGTGGCCTCTCCTACTCCGTGGTGCTCCTGGATGCACTGACTTGGTGTTGGCTGCTGGGGCTACCAGGAGGGGTTGGGCCCTGCCTACCTCTGGAGACACCTGGGGCACAATGCTGGAGGAGCAGGCAGCCAGTGAGTTCCCCACCTTCCTGGGGTGGTGAGGCTCAGGCCACAGGGCTCCAGGCTCCGCCTGGGGCTCCAGCTACGTGGTGGCAGGCCCCATCCTCCGGACACCGGGCTTCAGACTCAGCCTGCCCACTGCCTCCCCTGACCCCCATCCAGGGCTTAATTCATCCCCAGGCTTGCCGAGTAAGTCTGCTGTGAAAAGTGATACTTGTATGCTTGTTAGTATCACTCTTCACAAAAGACTTACTAGCTAGTAATAAATAAAATTACAATGATTTGGACCTGTATATTTGTTTGTTTTTCCTAAAGCTAATTAAGTATTTTAGAGAAAAGTGTGAGAACGACCACTAGCAAGAGTTGGTGGCCACGCTCTGAGGCCACCAAATAATTTGTCCTGAGAACCCCAGTCCACTGTAGCATTGTTGCACACAGTATATTCTGTAGTGCATTGTCAAGTCTAATTTTAAGAGAGACAAGCAATGTGGCTTCCCCCATTTTCCTTGGGTGACTATTTCACAGCCTAACGGATTTCACCATTCAGTCCTTTTTTTCCCCTTTAGCCTAGGGTATGTCTATACTATCCACCGGATCGGCGGGCAGCGATTGATCCAGCAGGGGTCGATTTATCGTGTCTAGTCTAGACGTGATAAATCGACCCGAGTGCTCTTCCGTCAACTCCTGTACTCCACTGCCATGAGAGGCGCACACAGAGTCAACGGGGGAGCGGCAGCAGTCAACTCACCGCAGTGAAGACACCGTGGTAAGTAGATCTAAGTACGTTGACTTCAGCTATGTTAATCACGTAGCTGAAGTTGCTTAACTTAGATCGATCACCCCTAGTGTAGACCAGGCCTAAGGTAATGTATGTAGTGTAGGTGAAATTCACCCTTCAGAAGAGGGCCAGCCCAAGGTCTAGACATCACTTAAATCCCACTGAAAGCCAGTTTTGACCACTTAAATAGGTCTTGTGCTGGCTCTCTTCTGGGAATTTCATCTTCTGTTAGGTCCAATATTTTACATATACATTTATAAATAGCTGTGATTTCTCCTCTTTTAGTTTATTTTTAGTTATAATTTTTAAAATATGTAAACGCCTTAAAAATAAGGCTGAATTAATACACTTCTAGTAAGTTATCTTGAAAGAAACATTGTACGAATATATAGCATCTAGCCAATCAAAAGCAGTTATAATTCCACCAATGGAATATGTTAAGAGTTATTCCAAAATTTTAACGAATGATGATCTCAATATACTTCAAATCCATGCTCAGGTAATTTAAGTTTTTACTAAAATCAAAATCAATAGACCCTTATTGCATTCCCTGGTGGTAACTGCACAGGCAATTTCAAGAGTCATTTCTGGTGCGTCCATTCTAACTACTAAAACCAGAAATGGTGTTGGCGCAAGAAATCTTCAAAGCCTCATCAATTCTCTGCCTTTGCCCTAGGAGGCTGGAGGACAGATTTTCCTTGATCAAACACTTACCCACTCACAGTCAATCCCAAGCACTGGCCACCTCTGCAGCTCCTTCTTCAGTAATGGTTCCACTTGATCCCACTCCTCTGCCTCTGAAACTATCACTATTTTTGCACCAAGGATCTCCTCTACCCAGGAAATGGTGGGAGAACCGACATATGAATGCAACTCCTTCTCCTCCACTTCCGTCAGTTCCTCATCGCCTGACCTTCTCAGAGCTCCACCTTGTTTACCACCACCACGGACCCTTTCTTTCCGACGCTGGCTTACTTTCCACAAAACGAGACCCCCTACTGCAACGCTCAACAGGGTTGCCACAGTAACTGTCACTGCTGTTTGTCTGAGCATTTTTCATTCTCCTCTGCTTCACTCACTCAAAATAGCATTGCAGAATTTTCTTATAGACTGCAAAGAAAAAAAGAGGGACAGATAAAGGATAGATATTAAATAATTTATTCAAAATTTTTAATATAAAATTAAGAAAATCAAACTGCCACTATTCAGACAAAGATCTAAGTACAGATCAGGATCATAAAGCAAAATGCAATTTTTAAAATGTACTGAATTCTATTCAGGAATAAATCAGGGATCAAAGCAAATGACACACTCTGGAGCAGTAGTGTGTTAAAAGCTAATGAGTCTAAATTCAGGTCTTGGTTACACCAGTGTAAATCTAGAGTAAATCCACTCATTTACATCAGTGTAACTAAGAACAGAAATTTGTACCAAAAACTAGTATTTCCCAAAAAATCCACATCCCTCAGCCATGTAGTCATACAACCTAATCTCCAGTGTAGACAGTGCCATGTTGGCAGGAGAGCTTCTCCTGTCAACACAGCTACAACCTGTGGCAGAGGTGGATTAACTAGACCAACAGAAGCAGCTCTCCCATCAGCATAGGAACGTCTTCACTTAAGCGCTACTGTGGTGCAGCTGCACCGATGCAGCATTTTAACAGTAAACCTGTCCTAAGTAATATAGGCCCTGATAGTACAAGATGATCCATGCACCCATGTGTAGCCCCACTCACTTCTTCAATGTCCTCCAGTGTAAACAACTTAATTTTCAGATGAAGTTTGATGAATAGGACCATATGATGATGCCGCCTGCAATGGCAGGGGCTGAACTCAATGACACAAGAGGTCCCTTCCAGTCCTATGTCTCTGACTGTGCAAAGCTAAACCTGGAAAGCCACTCATCTGCAGGATGGGGTTCTAATACTCCAGTCCTGCAAACAGTTTCAAGCACGTGAATACCTGCAGATGAAAGTACCACGGACTTCACTGGAAGGACTCACGTCCTGCATGGTTACACGTGTCTAACTGTTTGCAGGACTGAGGCCTGTGGTGGCCCCGATCCTGCAAGCCGAACCACGTGGGAGGTGCCAGGCAGCACCATACCCACCACCCATCCGCTGGGTCACCCCCACACATCCCAGTTCCGGGGAAGAGCTGAACGCACCAGCAAGGAGGGGCCAACACGAGACACCCCGCAGGCTGCTCTGGACTCCACAAGCTCGAGGGGGAAACACCCCCTTGTAAACTCTGCCCTTGGCAGCGCGACGCCACCGCGCACACCTGGCGGGACGCGGGAAGACACCCCCCCCCCCGGGGGGAAATTCCTGGGGCGGGGCCACATTTGGGGTCCGCAGCGGTGGGGTGCCCGGGGCTGGGCACTCGAGGAGGGGCCATCGGCAGCCGGGCGCGGCAGGGAAGCAGCAGCACCGTGTTCCCGCAGCGACGCCCGCCCCGCACAGAGAACCGCGCGCGGGGATCCGCAGCCACCTCCCTGCCCCCCACCTGCCTGCGCCTGGGCCCTCAGCGGAACGCCGGCTTCTCTCCGGCAGCAGGAACCTGCCCCGCTGCAGCCCCCACACCCGGCTGCACCGACGGACACTTCCGGCGGGCACACGCCCAGAGCGCCCCCTTTAACGGACACTTCCGGTCTCCTGTTCCTAGTGGGCGGAGCCTCCCGTGCAGCCCGGCGTCCCTCTGGGCTTGTGGGCGCTGCCATCTTGTACGGCACGCGCTCTCTGGCTGTGCCCGGACTGCATTGAGTCCATCTGCCCGAGAGGCTCTGGGGTTAATACCTGTTCTGTGGTTAAGTCAGTGGTGCAAAGCTCCGTGCACGTCATAAGACACCTAGATAAACTTTCTAGTATATGTTGGAGTAGGGTGACCAGATGTCTCGATTTTATGGGGAAAGTCCAGATATTTGGGGCTTTTTCTTATGTAGGCATCTATTACCCCCACCCCCTGTCCTGATTTTTCACACTTGCTGTCTATGCTGGAAAGCAGCCTATGGTCATGGGGATGTCGGTACCAGCTCTGTAGGGTGTTAAAGAGAGAAGTCCAGGTTGTGGAAGCTAAATTTAGATTATTAGGTGAAATGCATAAATCCTTGGTCTCCACAGTAACTTTGCCTGAAATACCCTCCAGTTCTATATGTAGGGCTGGCTAGGGCCATGTCTACACTAGTGAGCTTAGAGCCACACAGCTGTACCGCTGTAAGATCACTCCAGGAGCCGCTCTATGCCATCGACATAATTATTAAAGCATAATTAAACCACCTCCAATGAGCAGCGGTAGCTATACTGGCACTAGTGTAGATTCAGTTATATCAGTAAAAAGGTATCTAACAATCCTGAAGTATTTGCAGAACCACAAGAAGAACTGAATGGGTGGGAAACATAATGATTCCTTGGAGGATAGATTGCTGTGGGACATAGTGAGAACCAGTTCAAGGTTGTTGGTGCCATTCACGGAGCAGCTGCAGATGGTGCAGCGCTGCTTCTGGGCCCAAGAAATAAGCATTGACTGGTTGGATCGCATTGTAATGCAGGTTTTGAATGACAAGCAGTGGCTGCAGAACTTTCGGATATGCAAGGCCAGATTCTTGGATCTGTGCACTAAGCTTGCCCCAGCCCTCCAACTTAGGGACACCAAAATCAGAGCTGCACTGACAGTGGAGAAGTGAATGGCGATTGCACTGTGGAAACTTGCAATGCCAGATTGATACTGGTCAGGTGGGAATCCCAGTGGTTATAGCTGCCTGCTCTGTCCTTTACAACATCTGTGAAGCAAAGTGGGAAAAGTTGCTACAGCAGAGGTGCATCAACTGTCTGCTGAATTTGAAATGCCAGATACAAGGGCTATTAGAAGAGCTCAATGCAGCATGGAATGGCTTTGAAAGACCATTTTAATACAGACCAGAGTAATATGTGTTGTTAAAGTGTGCTCTACCTGGCCCTGCTCTTTTGTGATCTGGAAGGACTTGTGTGGTGACTGCTGTTGGAATATAACATTGTCAGTGCACCTATTAATTTTGTTTCTGAATGATTCTATGAATTGTGTGACACTGTGCAGTAAGAGGTAATTTGTTGATGTCAGAACTGCTGAGCACTCGGCAGCATAGGTTGCGAATTAATAAAGATGAATTATGTAATAGAATTTTATTCTCTAAGAAAATCAGTGCAAAAAACCATGCAATTTTATACCAAATACATTAAAAACATAATAAAACTTAATAAATAAAGAGAGCAGGACTTATGAAGGGGAAAGAACATTCATGTCCATTTTAGCTACTCATATACCAACCATGGATTTCACAGGTCTGTGTATGTGAAGCTGCGATTGTCTTTAATATCCCCCGGGGTGGAGTGATAGGATAGTGCTGTGACTCATGATGCCACCTGGAATGTTGAGGGGGGATTGTGACGCTGGCAGACCAGGTTTCAGCTCATGCCAAGGCACCTAGGCCCCACTGAAAACTAACAGATGCATATCTAGAAACCAGTCTGGCTCACCTATGTGTTAATATTGTTAAAATAGGTATTAGATTTATAGAGATATGTTTAGTGTGTGGACTTTATGAAATGCTTGTGAGTTGCCGCATGCATTAATCTCACTTATAATATCCCACGGTAAAAGGTAATACTTGTTTACTTTGTGACTATAAAAGTGTTTGCTATGAAACTGGAAACCACTCAGTCAGGAGAGAAGCATTACCAACGGTATGTCTACACTATGAAATTAGGTCGATTTTGTAGAAGTTGATTTGTAGAAATCGATTTTATACACTCGATTGTGTATGTCCCCACTAAGCGCATTAAGTCGACGGAGTGCCTGCTCAATACTGTGGCTAGCATCGACTTACGGAGCGGTGCACTGTGGGTAGCTATCCCACAGTTCCCGCAGTCTCTGCTGCCCATTGGAATTCTGGGTTAAGCTCCCAATGCCTGTTGGGGCAAAAACATTGTTGAGGGTGATTTTGGGTACATGTCGTCAGTGGTCCTCCCTCCCTCCGTGAAAGCAATAGCAGACAATCATTTTGCGCCTTTTTTCCTGGGTTACCTGTGCAGATGCCATACCACGGCAAGCATGGAGCCCGCTCAGCTCACCGCTGCTGTTGTGAGGATTGTAAACACCTCGTGCATTATCCTGAAGTATGTGCAGAACTAAGAGATGCCAAGGTTAAGAGATGCCAGCACGAGGACAATTGTTTTGAGGACATGGACACAGACGATCCTGAAAGCACAGGATGTGGCAATTGGGACATCATGGCGGCAGTGGGGCTAGTTGATAAAGTGGAACGCCGTTTCTGGGCCCGGCAAACAAGCACAGACTGGTGGGACCACTTTCATGGAACTTTGTGACTTGCTTTCCCCAGCCCGAAGCACAGGAATACCAAGATGAGAGCTGCCCTGACAGTTGAGAAGTGAGTGGAAGCTTGCAACACCTGACTGCTACTGGTCAGTCGGGAATCAATTTGGAGTGGGCAAGTCTACTGTGGGAACTGCTGTGATCCAAGTAGCCAAAGCAATCACTGATGTTCTGTTATCAAGGGTAGTGACTCTGGGAAATGTGCAGGTCATACTGGATGGCTTTGCTGCAATGGGGTTCCCTAACTGTGGTGGGGCGATAGACAGAATGTATATCCCCATCTTGCCAGCGGACCACCTTGCCAACCAGTAAGTAAACTGCAAGGGGTACTTCTCAATGGTGCTGCAAGCACTGGTGGATCACAAGGGATATTTCATTGACATCAACGTGGGATGGCCGGGCAAGGTACATGATGCTCGCATCTTTAGGAACTCCGGGCTGTTCGAGCAGTTGCAAGAAGGGACGTACTTCCCAGACCAGAAAATTACCATTGGGGATGCTGAAATGCCAATAGATATCCTTGGGGACCCAACCTTCCCCTTGCTCCAATGGCTCAGGAAGCCATACACAGGCAGCCTGGACAATAGTAAGGAGCAGTTCAACTATAGGCTAAGCAAGTGCAGAATGGTGGTAGAATGTGCCTTTGGACATTTAAAAGCTCACTGGCGCTGTTTGCTGACTAGGTTAGACCTCAGCACAACCAATATTCCCATTGTTATTCTGCTTGCTGTGTGCTCCACAATATCTGTGCGAGTAAGGAGGAGCCGTTTATGGTGGGGTGGGAGGTTGAGGCAAATCACCTGGCAGCCGATTTTGAGCAGCTAGACACCAGGGCAATTAGAAGAGCACAGCCAGGCACCCTGCGCATCAGAGAAGCTTTGAAAACTAGTTTTAGGACTGGCCAGGCTACGGTGTGACAGTTGTGTGTTTCTCCTTCATGCAAACCCACCCCCTTTGTTGATTTTAATTCCCTGTAAGCCAACCACCCTACCCGCTTCGATCACAGCTGGCAAAAGAAATAAAGTCACTATTGTTTTGAAACCATACATTCTTTCTTTATTAATTAAAAAAAAAAAGTGAGATAACTGACAAGGTACCCTGGGTGGGGTGGGGGAGGAGGGAAGGACGAGGCCTCATTGCTTATTGTAGCCACACTACAAATCAAAGCTGTTTGAATGACAGCCTTCTGTTGCTTGGGCCATCCTCTGGAGTGGAGTAGCTGGGTGCCCGGAGCTTCCCCCCACGTTCTTGGGCATCTGGGTGAGGGGGATATGGAACTTGGGGAGGAGGGCAGGGGGTTATACAGTGGATGCAGCGGCGGTCTGTGCTCTTGTTGCCTTTCCTGCAGCTCCACCAGACACCTGAGCATGTCCGTTTGCTCCCCCATTAGCCTCAGCATTGCCTCCTGCCTCTGCTCTTCGTGCTTACTTAATGGTTTCCTGGCCTCTGCCAGTGAATGCCTCCATGCATTCAGCTGTGCCCTATCAGTGCGGGAGGACTGCATGATCTTGGAAAACAAGTCATCGTGAGTGCATTTGTTTCACCTTCTAATCTGCGATAACCTCAGGGATGGAGATGATGGGGGGGCATAGAAACATTTGCACCTGGGGGGAGATTAAAAGGGAGAGTAAAATTTAAGATGATACATTTCTGAGAACAAAGGGAGACTCTTTCACAGTGAATCAAGCAATTCACAGCAGACAGCACACGTGCTTTAGGAACAAGGTCGCATTTTGCCTTTTATATTGAGCGCCTGCCAGTATGGTGACACATCACAAATGGCTGGGCAACAGAATTCGGTTTCCAGGCAGCCATGGTAAGCCTTTTGGTACATGGAGTTGGCTTCTTACGCCTTCATAACCTGTGGGAATGGTTTCAAACTGCAGCGCCATCCTCTCCCATAGCAAGCAATGCCGGTTGGGTTTCACATTTAGAAGGAGGGGCTGCAGTTTTCGGGTGGATGTGCAGCACACACCTCCCCCCACCCTACCACGTGGCTATTCTCTGGGATGATCCCTTCACCCCTCCCTCCGCCACATGGCTATTCTCTGGGATGATCCCTTTTAGCCAAGCACAAACAACCCAGCA